ATAAAGTTTTGTCTCTGGGAAAGATTTATGGGGGCAATCCAGTGTCCTTTTACGAGTTTGACGATTGTAAGAAGAATAAGAAATTACTCACAGAGTCTTCGCCAAGATGATTGTGGCGAGGTGTAAAGGCTCTTATTTGGGGATTGTGAGGCTTTCCAGCCGTGGACTCCCACGATTGGTACTTCGGAGTTTTGCTCAAGACGAACTGAAACCTGATGCCGGCTGCTGCCACAGACGGAGGGCTCAGTTTAAGTCTTCTGCTCCCAGTTCCTGCTCCCGAGGATCTGGTGGACACTTGTCAAATCTGGGGGATTTCAGAAATGTCAAGAAAGTCCCCTAAAAAGACTCCAAAGTCTGGTTAGTCCCGGAGAAGCTCCGGCACTCAACCACTCTGCTTCACAGTAACCCCGCCTCCCCCATGCTGTGTTTTTAATGCCCTCCTTGGAATAGATTTGGGGATGGTGTCATTAGAAGTACGCAGTTGATACCAAGTGACATGCTTTGGCTTAAGTTAAATTTGAACCCTCTTGGATCAGCACCTTCTAAGATCTTCTAATACATTTGTTCTGGAATACCCCATATTGTTGATTGTCCTTACTCGCTATATGTAATCTCCATTGAGTCCATGTGAGAAAGCTGGATTATAAATAGCATAAAATAAATAAATAAAATTAAGTATTTAATTCTCTTAGGTAATTTTCATTCAGGCTGGGCAGAAGCTGTTGAGAAGAAATTACAAATCTTATGGGCTTACAACTGTATGTTTGTATGGTTCCCCAGAATAATTCTTCATTATATAGATGCTGATCAGTCTGGCTTCATTGCAGGTAGATGTCTCTTAATATTAAGAGACTAATTTCCATAGCAAACTCAATGCAGAATCAAAATGAAAATGTAGCTATGATATTTTTAGATGCTGAAAAACATTTGATATCATCTGTTTCAGTTCTTACTGCCATCATGTATCTGATTCTTTTAATATGGGAGGAAAGTTTAAAGATTGCTTGAAGCTGATATGCAATAATCCATGAGCAAAATCTGCTTTAATGGTTGTGAATAATTGGCAGTACTAGACAAGAATACCCACTCAATCCCCTTTTGTTTATTTTAATTGTCAAACAATTGGCTATCTTTGCATCTCTACCAATCTTAAGAGAGTGCGGTTGGTGTGGGGAGAACATTTCAAAATATCACTATATGGTATTGTTTATTGAACCCAGCCACCTTCTCTCCATAGTTAAAGTAAGCAACTGTTAAATGAATTTAGTGAAAAAAGTATTTTTTTCTAAATTTTCTAATCAGAATGGATCAAACATCATAATTTTTTTCTGGGAATCAAAAACAAACAAACTCAACAATTCTTGAACATAAAGAAAAGCTTTAAAAAAAAACCCCAGTGACTATTACGTTTACCAGGAGCTTGATTAGATATCTGGGTATTTATATTACAAAGGATTTTAGTCTGGTAGCAGAAACACATAATAAAAATACAATCTGAAATAAATTGTATTTTGGACATCATTACACATCCATGGTTTTGGAGAATACCTACTGTAAAAGTTGATGCTTTAACTTTCTTTTTCAAAATTTTCCTCTGTCAATGGGTAATGAAATTCTCAATCAATGACAGAAAACCATTTTAAAATTTATCTGGCAAACCTCCCAGGGTTGTGTAGACACACTCACACACAAAAGCATGAACAGAGTCTTGAACACAAACATGAATTAAGATTGTTCTTAGTATTTTAGTGGAAAAACCTGTTATAAATTAAACATACCTGGTGTGAACAGACAAGCAGAATATAGTCTGGTACTGATCCAGAGAGCAAAGGTATATTGCTCTGGATCCTTCCCAACAGGGAAGTAGGGTGGGGGGAACCATTATATAGTATACTCCATTGGCCAGAAGAGGAACACAATGGAATGACTAGTGGATGAAACGATTCCATTATCAGACTGAGAAGCAATCATTGCCATAAGACAGAAAAGAGTAATGAGAAAACCTACTGAAATGGTCACAGGGGGAGTCACTAGCATTCTATGGCTTTAGTGAATTCTGTGACTTGCTTCACAATGTTATGCCTAGGAAGACAGAAAGCCTGTCTCTAAGCCTCTTTCATGAGGCTCTTTTTGTAGCAGGAACTCCTTTGCATATTAGGCGACACACCCCTAATATAGTCAATCCTCCAAGAGCTTACAGTAGCTTCTGTAAGAACAGCTCTGTAAACTCTTGGAGGATTGGCTACATTAGGGGTGTGTCGCCTAATATGCAAAGGAGTTCCTGCTACAAAAAGAGCCCTAATTTCTGAAGATATGGAGCTGGATGCACAGTCTTCCTTCCATTGTCAGAGAAAGTTCTGTTCATGGAAAAAGTCATTTACAGAAGGAGTTTTCCACTAATGGAAACAGTCCTTCCATGAATAAAAAACTCCTTTCATGAACTCCTCTGCTGACAAAAGGGCATCTTTGGATCCAGCATATCCAGTTTTGGACAAGAAGTTTGAAACTTTAGTTATGCCTTTCAATTGCAAGCCTAAACCTCCCATTCCAATCAGCCATGTTTCTGGTTTCCTTTGCATTCCTCCTGGTTTTTAAAACATTGTGGAGGTGGGCAGGTAGGGGTAGCCTAATGTGTTGTAAGCAAATATATGAAAGGAAAAAAAGATTCCCAGCAAAGAGAACTCCAGGAACTTGCATACATAGGTAGGAGCTTGCATACATACCAATATAATGAACCCAGTCCAAGCGACAAAATATACTGGGTTGAATCCAAAGAATTGTGAGCAAAGGAAAAACAGAAACGGTATTCCACCAATTTTTGCTCAAGAATGTACTCAGTTGTTAGAGTTAATAGTATAAAAGTTCTCATGTTTCCACATATGCTGAGACTGTTAAGTAATCAGAATATCCTTTGATATTAGTTTCAGTTTACTCATACAATGCTCTATTGAAAGATGTAAAACCACATGTAGAATGGTACCCTTGGATCCAACCCCCTTGTAAATATTAAACATGTAACCTCTTATAAAAGCTGTGGCATGCAGAATACTTGAAATATGAATACAATATAATAAGGAAAAGGAAGCTCCAAACCGACGTGAGTCAAATATGTTGTCTTAGTGTGCATTGACAAATGAACTACATTTAAAGTACATCAATTGTCACCGTGCTGAAAGAGAGTGTAAGTTCCAAATGCAGTAATTACCAGGATGACAGGAGAAACTGGCATTAAACACTTCTCCTGCTCCTGGAGAAAAAGGTTGCAAAACTGGAAGTCCATGTGTTGACTCCAAATATATTAATACTTGTCAACTCAATGGTACCTGACAGTGAATATTTCAACTTCTCTTACATAGGCCTGTCCACGAGTCAGTTCTGAGCAAAGTTTTCATCATGAACCGTAGCATAAGTCACAATAATATATTTAGTGAAAAGTGACTGCCACATTTTCTCTTAATAATTCCTTTTTTGCCACTGTGAACCTCTCAGCATTCATGCTAAATGAATTTACTCGTCTAATCTGGACAAGAAAACTCAAGACAGAAAGAGCCAAATGGCAAAATGTGATAGGAATGTAACATGCAAATTTATCACCACAATGATTCACCAGTACAGCATAATGAAACAGTGCTCCAATAGGTCTACCATGATCAGTGTGAAATGTACTATAATTTTAAATGTTCAGATCTTTGACAAAATTGTGACTGTTTTGCAAACAGCCTTCCTAAGATTCTTTTCTTATTTGAATGCAGCAAAAGATAGGATGCAGCTTGACAGTCTTCCCGTACCTTTGTAGCTCCCAGGAACACACAATCTTCCTCTTACAAATTAGTCAGTGTATCGTGTACGGGTACTCTGGCAAAGCAATGGCAATGGTTTCCTTTACAGTGCAATCCTAAAAATGTCTTTTCAGAAGAAAACCTACTGACTTAGAGATTAGCTTCCTAATAAGTGTACCTAGGACTGTAGCTTAAATCTTTAAAAGCTGAAGTAAAGGCTTTCTTCATGAATAACATGGTACAGCAGCTCTTCACAATGTTTACTCCTGAGATAAAGTACACCTCCATCTGGCAAATCACATATGGAATTGATTTCACCTGCCATAACTCTATTGGCTGTGAACAAAGGACAGGAACTAGGTATTTACAGCAGTTGGAGCATTGGACTAGAGCAGTTTTAGCTACTGCTTTGCCCACTAAGATAAAAGAAAGCAGCTAGGGTTGCCAGTGAGAGACTGGAGCAGGGGACATTGGGGCAGCTGGCAGCAGCACCATGATGTCCCTTTCTGGGTAAAACCCGGAAAGGGACATCTTGCTTCTCTAGGGATCTCTGGATATTCTACAGTAATGATAGTGTTTCCAGCAATTCCTAGAGGGGGGGGGGATGTCCGTTCTGGATTTTCCCCAGAAGTGACATCACACAATCAGGCCAATGGCCATTTAAATTTTTTTCTCCTGCCACTGCTCAGAGTGGTGGGTTGCCAGTGCTGTGATATGAAGCAGCTACCCCCTTCTTCTAACCCCACTTAGTTCAGTGGACTTAGAATGGTGAAACTCTGCTTAGGACTGCACTAAACAGTTTATATAGAGAACCCTTCCTTTAAAGCAGTCAGAATAAGTAGTATATACACACACCTCTCCTGGCCTGCTTGCTCCTGTCTACCACATGTCTACAAATATCTCTACTTTATAGAAACAGCAAAGTTCTTATGCCCTTTTTTTTCCCCTTTAGAGGCTCTAAAGACAATTCAGCTTCATGCACTTCCCTTCAGAAACAAGGATGGGGGTGGGGAATTACAACTCCCATGAAATTTCCCTGTCCCCGATTATGTTTGTGTGGGTTTATTATTGTACATTATGGAGGAGTTTCTGTGATAAACACTAATTGCAATAACAGGATGTAAACCTCTGCTTAAACGCTTCCTGAAATGAAAACAAAACCGCAGATGCAGCAAAATCTCATTTTCAAACAAACAGAGATTATTATATGTTTGTACTTACCCAGTCGAGGGGTTCATGATGCAGCCTCCTTTATCAGTAGATGCCTTACAGTTGCAGCCCCTTTCCAGTGTATCATGGTTCATTCCAAAATTGTGGCCCAGCTCATGAGCCAGAGTTACTGCTGCTCCCAAAGGGGTGTCTGAATGATCCTCAAAGATAAACACAGTCAGAGAGAAGGTAAAGCTCACTGTACAAATGACAAACCACTATAGCTTTATACAAGGATGTCTGTGCAAGCTCATTGGAGTCTAATTGTTACAGATGTCACATACAGAAAGAGTATTGGTGTATTATCATTGGTGTAAAAAAGCCAAATCCCTGCCTGCCGTCTGCCTTAATAATACATGCCTTCACTTACACTTGATGCATACATGCCAACAGACACGGGATGATCTCTGAAATATCTTCTTACAGGCAGGAGACTTGCAGAGGGATCTCATTTCCCTCTCCCCCACTATTTCCTCTTTTCCTTCCCTGAAAGTCCCCATAGCCTTTCCCTTTTCCTGCTTCTTCCTCTTTCCCACCCACCAGCCAACCTCTCTTTATCTGCCCTCTCTCTCCATCTTTCACTCCTTACCTCTCCCTGACAGCATCTCCCTGGGAAAACTGTGTGGCTGGGTTGGCCAACCGCTGAGCTCGGCTAGACCTAGCTGTGTAGTATAGCCTGCTGGGCTGGGCCAAGTTGCACAGTGGGGAACCTACAAAGTCTTGCAGGAGAGCACTTTATTTTCCCTTGGATTTCCCCTTCCCCACACTATTTCCTCTTTTCTTCCTCCTGGCAGCTTCCATCTCCTCACCATTCCCTGATTCCCTTTCTCCCTCCCATCCACCCAGCTTTTAGCTACACCTCCCTTCTTCAGCTATATTTATTATTTAACCCATGTTTTTCCATGATGGGAACCCAAGGCAGCTTCCATCATTCTTATCTCCTCCATTTTATCCTCACAACAACCCTGTGAGATAGGTTACTTGTGTGTATGAGTGAGACAGACCCAACAGCCAGGTAGTGGCAATTTGAACCTGGGTTTCCTGATAGTGTAACCGCTACACCACTTGCTTTCATGTGATGGCTTGTATTGAATAGTAGCAAGCACTTGGGCTTGGCTGTCATCAAATGGCAGGTGGTAGCCAGTAGACCAGTGGTTGCTGGCCCTGGTAAGCCCTCAAGGGGCAAAAAAAGTGCCCTGCCTCTTCCCCTACTTTTCAGTGACAGAACCCAAGGCTTTAACGTGGTCGATACTTTTGTGGCTGCTTAGCAACAGCCACTGAGGAAAATCTGTTTCTTAAAGCTACAAGTCCTGTTTCTATTATTTTGTTTTTAGCCCCTCCCCTTTTTAAAGAGTTCAGATTTTTCTGCAAACCGGGGACTTTTCTCCATCTTATCTGTCTGTGGCTCCAGACTCTGGATTTAAGTTTCTACAAAGGTAGAGCATTAGATATACTGATGTGGAGGTAGTCCATGAGAAAAACTGACGTGGAGGTAGCCCATGTTTACATACAAATGGCTCCTCATATCATTCTATTTATTTATTTAGATTTTTTAATCTCCCCCCCCCCCAAGAAAAAAAGGAGCCCGGTGGCTCACAACACAACAATATAGTAACAATAATAAAACCATAGTTCTAATAAAATCCAATTACATTAAATTAAAATCCAGTACATTTAATGCACAGTTTTTGGCATAAAAATCCCTGTTCTTAGTAGAGTCCACCAGAATTACTGGAATGCCTGGTGGAATAACTCTGTCTTACATGCCCTGTGGAATGCAGACAATTCCCGCATGGCATGAGTCTCCTCCGACAAACCATTCCACCACATCAGGGGCACGGTGGAAAAGGCCCTTGCCCTTGTTACACACAGAGGGGCAAATTGAGGGCCAGACACCACCAAAAGTCCATGTATTGCTGAATGAAGACACTGTGGAGGGTCATAATGGGAGAGGCATTCCTTTAGCTATACAATTTAGAAATACAGTCTATGAATAAAGTGGAGTTGCATTGGCTTGTTGAAATCAACAATAATAATCAATGGAGAAATCAAAGGATGTGAAAAGATGTGTGAACCAGGCCCAAGTAAGAAACTTAAGGATCACCAAGTACCATCAGAACCTACCCTACCACTTCTGAGATTCTACTTCAGACGTTCCTGTTTTCTGAGGTTAGATGACAATACAGTAACAATAATAAATAATATCATCTGTGCCATGGGTATGGCCTGGTACTACAGCCTCTAAGTTTGCAGGCTATATAAACACAGCACCTGGGGATCTTATTGGACTGCCATCATTTAGATACTAAATGAAAAATAAACAATAACAACTGTGATATAATTACAAAAAAGTCAATTCCATGTTTGATAAATATTAGTCTATTTCTGTGAAATCACATAGAGACAAATATCTTTCACAATAAGAATAGTCCAATTATATAATTCTCTTCTCTGTTGCAGGAGACTGTCTGGTCCTCTTCACATCAAGTGTCATCCAATGCAAATAAAGTGCAACAGCCAATAAAACATTCTTTGTGTTTTTCTTATTCTTGTATGCAAGTATTTATTTATTTATTTATTTTCCACACTTTTACCCCGCCCTCCCACCAAGGCGGCTCAGGGAGGCTTACAATAAGAAATACCAATATACAATTAAAACCGGTTATCACAATCAATACAATACCTTACCATAAAACCATAAAACATTACAAACCATAAAACAAAAAGTCACAATTCCGCAGATAGGCTTGCTCAAACACCTGTTTTAATAAGCTTCCTCAGAGCAGAATGCGTGTAGCTACAAGCAATATTCAGTAATTAATCACTGAATAGACACAAGGAATTTTAATATACCTCAGCAACATCCAATGTGATATAATACACTTTACTCAGTTTCTTAGCTGCATGTTCTCTCTCGTAGGCATGAATAGCTCTAAACTCATGATTACCACATGTAATCCTTATGTTGGAAACCTACAGTTATTGTTCAGATTAGTTGCAGGTGAGGTTTACAATTTTCAAATGTAAAGTGACAAGTGCTTTCTAAATTTAAAATAACTTGTATTAACCACTTATACACATAATTTCCCATAAATATTGCCAACACACCAAAATGTTATTATTATTACACATGTTTATACAAAGAATACTTATAAATAACAACTCAAATCCAAATTGGCATTCAAGCCCCAGGGTGCCATAGTATTGAGTCTGAAAACCCATCTTGCCTCTTGATGTTATAATTCCAGTTGTACATTTCTATCTGTTCTTTCCTTAGCTACATACAAAACAGAGTATCTGAAATCCTCTTCCCCATGACCCTTATAAATAAAATAATATATCATGGAAGCTTCAAGAATTTTATTGCATATCCTGGAAGAATGCTCCAGGATTTGTGACTTCACCAGTCTAGTAGTACTCCCTATGAAGATCATAGAACATTTCAAATTATTATGTACACTACATGGGCTGTACTACATGTTGAAAAAGATCTCAGTGTTATATTCTTATCCCCTGGTAACTGAATATTTTCCCTTTCCATTGACAACTAACAAGCTTTGCATTTTTTGCATTTACAGTGACCCTTAGTGGACAACTGGAAATGATTGACACTGTTAATATCTGAATGGATTACAATGTCCCTAATATTTTTCATCCCTTTAAAGCCTATAAAAGGACAATTCTCAGTCAGGTAGATCTGCGACTAGATGCCAGTGTCTTTCTATACCTTTCTTAATTGCCTTAGCATAGGTGTATAATCAAAAGCACACATTAATCTTTTATTTCTCTGTTGGCTATGTTCTTTAAATAAGGCTGATATTTCAACATTTCTGGCTCTATTTTTCGCTTTACAGATAACATACTCCTGATATAATCTTTCTTTAAATTGTTCATGCATCTCCTCACTCTATTAAAGGCTTGGAGTTGTGTTGAATTTTGCCTGATATGGAGAAATTGTCCATAGGGGAGATTATGTCTTAGATATGTGGGCTACTAATTGGTTCAGATTTTAGGGGAACCATCTGATTGTTTTGTTGTGACCCACCCCGAGCCTGCTGCAGGGGAGGGTGGGATATAAATCACATGAAATAAATAAAATAAGGATGAGTGGCAACCCAAGAAAAACAGAGTTGTACTTATCAATGTTCCCTCTAAGCTGTGGAACTATGTGAGCAAAAATTCTACTTTGTGAGCTACTAGCATTAAAGTGTGAACGAGCCTACATTTGACTAGCATGTAAACCTAGCCTACCTCAGAAGGTTGTTGTGAAGATAAGACAGAGGATGAGAAAACAATGGACAGCATTCTGTGCAACAGTTTTCTTCACAAGCAAAAGAGTTGCATTGTAGTAAATGATTCACAAAGATACTTGGACTGTGGTCTATACTACTGTGTATAGCTTGCTGAAAGTAGGATCCTGCCATGTTATTTTTGCATCACTTAATGTGTCATGTTAACACTTATGCTTTCCTTGAACTTATCTTGCCACCTGGATCCATGGCCAGGCAAATTTGAGGGTAGAATACTGCAACACACTCTACATAGGTCTTCCCTTATGATCTACTTGGAGACTCCAGTTGATGCTAAATGCAGCACTTCAGGTATCCTGGGTGCTAGTAGGAACATGCATATCACTCCCAGGCTACGTTCACTCCATTGATTGTTTACGAGTTACTGGCTCAGTTTAAGGTACTAGCTATCAAATGGGCTGGGTCCCTCATATCTGCAGGACCATCTCTCCTTCCATGATCTGCTACAGCAGCTTCACTCATCCATGCAAGGCCTTCTGAAGATACCTCTCTGCAAATGGGCAAAACTGACCACTGCCAATAACCGTGCATTTCCTGGTATGCCCCCTCCATCCTGGCTTTCCATAAACTATGCATAACAGAACTATTCAAGTGGGCATTTTAAATAAAAGAAATAGAGCTGCATCATAACAGATTGGAAAATGCGCTGTATTTCTGCTGATGTCGTACCACATTCTGAATTGTTTGTCATGTTGTGTTTAATAATTATGTTTTGTTCAGATGACAGCTTCCTTTCAACTTCCTGCATTTCCTAGTCCTATCAGGTTTTTGATTATACATTTAATCAGATTCATTGCATAGCTTTACACTCCATAATCCACCTTGAATTTCAGTGAGAAAGGTGGATTTAA